GTTCTAAATAAGCCATTTCCCCTCTCTGAGCCTCAGATTTCTTCTCTGAGGAGTAAGAGATCTGGAGTTGGCCTCTAATCTCCCCCTACTACCACAGTTCTACATTGTGCACTGGTGAAATGACAAAGTAAGGCAGTACAGGGGGGAGGTTAACGGTTTGGCTCCACCACTTACAAGCAGGGTGACCTTGAGCAAATATTGAGCCTTGGAGTTTTTAACTGTAAAATGGGGATTCTTCAGGAAGGTTATGGGGATGAAAGGCTTTTGGATTGCCTGGCACACAGTTGTCACTCCATGCATATGAGCTACTAATGGTATGAATCCTACTCTCACTGGGAGTCAAGTTTGGGACCAACTCTAGTAGTGTCCACCTCTAGAGGCCAAGATGGGCGCCCAGCTGACCCACTCCCCACCAGGGTCCTGTGCTGTAGCTCCAGTGGAGTGAGATGCTTTAGCTGGCAAGACTGGTGATCCTTGTGATATGACTTTCCCCCTGTCGACCTCCTCCAAATCCTACCCATTCTACTTAGCTCCTTTACACTCAGGACACTGGAGTCAGGACTAGAATTTCAGATTGTTTTTTTTTCTTACTGTACTTGTATTTTATTGTATTTATACTATAGAAAATTCTAATAAAATACGATTTCATTTAACATAGTTTTCTAAGAAGCTATGTAAATCTAGCCTCCTCCGTTAACATTAGACTGCTTGATGTCTCTGTATCTTCATTTGGCTCTTACTGTCACTGAGTTAGTTTTTCTTTTGTTTTCTTGCAGTACTAGGGTTGAGGGCTTTTACGCTGAGCTACATCCCCAGACCTTTTTTTTATTTTGAGACAGTGTTTGCTAAATTGCTAAATTGCCTAGGCTGGGCTTGCTGAGATTACAGGTGTGTGGAATCATGCCCAAATGAACTGTTATTTTTTCATAAGCACCTACACCTAGACAAGCAATGTGAGGAAATTGAAAGGTTTTCTTACTCAGCTTGATGGCCAAATGCACCAGCCCATCTTACATAAAGTATCTCCCCACACTGATAAGGAAGGAAAGGAAAGAGTACCTCCATATCACAGATGCACCCCCTGAGGCTCAGAGATCACATGGGTGGTCAGTGGTCGAGCCAGGATCCTAAGCGACATCTGTGACTACAAGCCCGCCCACTCAGCATAATGCTGTCCTCACCTTTTTCCACCCACAGCCCCTGCACCTGGCCAGGGTTTTCTGAGGCCTTGGTGCCCTCTGGTGGTTCATAAGGGCTCATTCCACTTAAGACTTGTGACCCTTAGTGTCTGAAAGACACCTCAATGTGGATGCCCCTGGGGTAGCAAGCCTGCCGCACTCAGAGAGCTGGATCCACGACCTGCACTTTTTCAATGGATCTCTCAGGAGGATTCTGCCGAGTTCAAGGAAGGGGGGTTAGGTCCTTTTCCCGAAAGATGCCATCCAGATTCTTCACTATTTTCTGAGTACTACTGAGTTCCTGTTCGCTTTGTGTACTTGGAATACAGAGAGGGAGGAGGCATACATCCTGTCTGAAAACTGAACATGCAAAAATTACAACACAATAAAAGAAAATTCTAATGTGGGTTATGTAGACCTTTTCTTATCACCCCAGAAATTGTTACCAGAATTCAAAATTCAAAATAGGCATGGTGGTGCCTGCCTATAATCCCAGTACTGGGGAGGATGAGACAGGGCCAGCCAGGGCTACACAGTTAGTTCAAGGCCACCTTGAACTACGTAGACAAACTTTGTGTCCAAAAAAAAAAAAAAAAGGATTTCAAGGCATAGTGGTACATATCTGTAATCCTAGAACTCTGGGAGGCTGAGGCAGGAGAGTCACATGTTTGAGTCCAGCCTGGGAAATTTAGCAAGGCCCTACCTCTCGCCTCCTCAAAAAAGAAATTTTTTTAAAAGCCTGGGTATGTAGCTTAGTGTGCAGGCCCTGGGCTGAACCCAGAATGGGGTCAGGGTTGGTGGTGTCATCAAAGACCCCAAAAGCTAAAGAAAGCAGAAAACAATAGGAGTCAGATTCCTCCTGCAACCACCAGCCCAGCTGCCAGCACCTGCTCAACTTCTCTGTGCGACTCCTCTCACCTGCCCCGGGGGCAAAGGACAGCCAAGCTGAGAAGGAGGTAGGATAGAACAGCCAGCATTTCTACCTCACTTCTGATATGCTGAGGCTCTCTGGGCCACCTGGAATCTTCTTCCTAAACTTCTCCCTTCAAAGACCTACCTTACAGTTTAAAAAGTAATCAGACTTTCTGAGAATCCTTTAATCACTGATTTTGCTTTGAGATAATCTGAGATACCCTGCAGCTACATTGGACAATGTGGTAGCCACCAGCCACTATCCCTATTCAGGACTTAAAATGTGGCTAGTTTGAACGGAAATGTGCTGTAAGTGTAAAATATATATTGAGTCTTTTGATTTTTACAGTACTGAGGATTGAACCCAGGGCGTTTGCTACATCTCTAGCTCTGAAAAAAATTTTTTAAAGCTTTTATTAGTACATATTTGCCATACATAGTGCTCACATTCATCATGGAGAATTTGTACCTGTACATAAATATCTCAATTCTTTTTTTTCCTCCCCTTCTGTCAACCTTTCTTCTATTTATAGAAGGCTTGTTTCCATTTCTTTCCCTCCCATTCTTCTTCTTCTTTTTTTCAATCCTTTTCTAAATTGCTAAATTATCCAGGCTGGCCTGGAACTCACAAGCATCTTGAGTGCCTCCCAGGGTGAACTGGATCTTAGAGACGTAGTATGGGAGGAAAAAATGTAAAATACTTACTATGTTTTATTGATTGCATGTTGAAATGATATTTTTAAGATGAATTTTATTGGTACATTTTAGATATACCTAACATTTATCATATGGAATTTATACCTGTACAGGATGTATCTTGATTCTTTTTTCCTCTCCCCCTCTCCTTCCTTCAACCCCTCTTCCCCTCCTTATTTACAAAAGCTGTTACCATTTTCCCTTCTATTTTCCTTTTTTCTTCTTCCATTCTTCCTCCCCCTCCCTATTTCCCCTTCCCATTTGAACATTTTCTTCCTATTTCACAATATCTATTATACATTTTAATCTTTATTTACATTTTTGGTTTCTCACACCAGAGAAACCATGTGGTATTTAAATGTGTGTCTGATTTATTTCACTTAAGAGTATGGTTTCAAGGTGCATCCATTTACCTAGAAATGTCTCAAGTTTCTCCTTCTTTATGGAAGAGTAGTACTCCATTGCATTAAAAAAAACACATCTTCTTTATCCATTCATCAGTTTATGGCCATTTGGGCTGTTCCAAGGTTTAACTATTACAAACTGTGTGTCTACAAACATGGGTGTCCATATATTGCTGTGGTATGATGCTTTCAGTTCTTTTGGGAAGCCACCAAAAAGAGGAATAGCTGGGTAGAATGGGACCTCTGGTTTTAGTTTTTTAAGGAATCTCCACACTGATTTCCACCAGTTTACACTCCCACCAACAGTGGAGAAGGGTTCCTTTTTCCTTACAGTTCTGCCAGCATTCATTATTAGTTGATTTCTTGACAATAGCCATTCTTTCTGGAGTGAGATGGGATCTCAGTGTCGTTTCGATTTGCATCTCTCAAATGTCAAACATTTTTTCATATCTTTATTTGCCATTTCTATTTCTTGAGAAGTGTCTATTCATTGAAATATTTTGGATATATCTTTAATTAATAAAATGTTATTAAAATTCACTAACACTACAAAATTTACTAAAATTACAAATGTATTGCACATTGTATTTCTATTTGGACAGTGCTGTGAAGGTTTAAGAAAATCAGAGCTGAGGAGCCCTGGCCCAACAAAGCTTTCCTGCATTGAACCACAAGAGGGCGGCCTGAGATGTCGGGTTTCCTTGGGTTTGATTTGACTGGAAGCAGGCTGAATCCCCCAGACGTGGTATAAACTTTGCTTTCAGTAGTCAGTACTTAAAGTTTCTTGTTTGTTTTTGTTTTGGAGACTCAGTCGAACTATGCTGTCCAGGCTGGCCTCGAACTTGTGATCTCCCGCCTCGGCCTCCCAGAGTGCTGGGGGGTGCACCACCAAGCCCAGCTTCCAATGCTATCTTTTAGGGGCAGTTTTAAACTGCTTTTCTACAATTTGCAAGGTCTGTATATGTTGCCTCTAATTTAACATAATTTCTCTAGAGCTGGAGTCCAAAATGCCTGAGTTACAATAAACTACAATTTTAAGGAAATGAAAATTCTGTAAGTTTCATTATGACAGCTTGGTAAAGGGCTAGAGGTGTATGAGGGATGAGAGAGCCTATGGATATATTCCCATTTTGATCAAAATGCTACAGATCTGAGTGAAAACTGGCATCACTTCTCTGGGAGACAATTTGTAAGTATGTATATACCAAAAGTCTTTAAAATGACCACAAAGAGGGCCAGGCATGTAGCTCAGTGGCACTGAACCTGCCTGGCAAGGGCAAGGTCCTGACTTTGATCCCTGGTACGGGAAAATAAATGAATAAATTAAAATAGAATGACCACAAAGGAGGGAGCATAAAAAGCATTAAGATGTGTTAGATACATGTACCAACTCCCCACGATGAATGCATTCATTATGTGCTGCAAACATGTAGCAATAAAATTTTTTTTAAATATAATGACCACCTATTTTGACCCAGTAATTCCATTTCTAGTATCATAAATGTATTTTATTTATTTATTTTTGAGACAGGGTCTCACTATGTAGCTCAGGCTGGCCTTGAACTCACTACGTAGCCCCAGGCTGCCCTAGAACTCACAGTGATCCTCCTACCCTTGCCTCCTGAGTGCTGGGATTACAGGCCTGTGTCAGGAATTCTTGCCCTGAGGACCGAGGGCAGACCTCTCCACGGTGGGGAGTAACCTGATGCGGCCTGATTTTACTGAGGAGCCACGCAGAAGTCAGCCTGCCTGTTATCGCAAGGTAGCGGAACTATACACTACTCTGCTCTGAGGGGCGGCTGCGCAGTGATGTTTTCCGGTTTTAAAAAAATGGCGGATGCTAAGCCGCTATAATTTGGTCCCTCTGAAGACGCCGTCCGAGTGCGCGGCCAGTTCTCGTCATGTGACTGAGGCCTGCAGTGTAGGGAAGGACTGGCTGCCGGGTCCTGGTTTAGGAAGGACGGCTTCTGATAGAATGGAAGCGACTTTAGAGCAGCACTTGGAGGATACGTGAGTAATACGGGTTGCTTGGACCTGTTGTGAGGTCGCAGCGTGTGGGACTTGAGGGATAAATAGTGCGTGCTGCAAGTACTTGGGATGGGGTGAGGGCGGGTGAGCTCTGCCCTGGGATTGTGAAGCCGGGCGAGTAACTCAACATTAGTATCTTGCAGGACTTTACTGTTTTCCTCAGGCCCAAATGGCCTGTTGAAATCATCTGTGTAGTCAGGGTCGTTGCTTGCAAGAGTTTGGGAAACAAATACTTTTGGAAAGGATGTACCAGGTGTGCAAAGTCGAGCCCTGCAGTGTAAACACGTGTCTCCTCCCGTGATCTTTTCAGCCATCTGGTGATTAAGGAAGTAAAGGTATCCCATACATTTTTTTCAAAGATCTATGAAAACTCAAAATTAGAAAAGCATAAAGTTTACAGGGAGACACCACCCTCCGACCAAAGACCCTCACTTCTGCTCTGGAAAACTACACCTGTTAGTTGTTTTCATACCGAGGTTCAATCCAGGGGCTTTCCACTGAGCTACATCCCAACCCCTTTTCTTATTTCTTATTTTGAGACAGGGTCTAGCTAAATTGCCCAGGCTGGCCTTGAACTTGCAATCCTCCTGCCTCAGCTTTCCAGAGTGCTGGGATTACATTTGTACAATACTATATTCAGCTCCCTTAGTTTTTCCAACATTTGTTTTAAAAGGGTTTGTATGATAAAGCATGCATCAAAAACAAGGGTAACAAAAATACTAAATCTTATGTTTGCAGCCCTCTAAAGTACAACAGTATTTGACAGTCTTTTCTCACATCAGAGAGAAAGTGATTGAATTATTTAGTTACAACAATTTTTCTCTTGGGGATAATAATGAAAAAGAGTTGGAAAACACTTAAACAATGCCTGGTACATAGAAAGCCTGTACATGCTATAGTTATGTAAGTATTTTTTCACATCATCTAATACCTCTTTCCTTTGTTCTCGAATTAGAATGAAGAATCCATCCATTGTTGGAGTTCTGTGTACAGATTCACAAGGACTTAACCTGGGTTGTAAGTGTCTCATACCAACCTCCATCAGAAATCAACTTGGAGCCTAGTGGGCTACTATTCTCTAGCTTTCATTTTCCGTTACCTTGCCACTTTCTGAGTATTTTTGTGAGTAGAAAGTATCTCCAAGTAAGATTAGAAAATTGAAATTTTATTGGTATTTAAAAGATAGAAGTTCCTTGCGGGTCTAGTGTGAAACAGCTGTCTCCGCTAAAATGGTATTTGAATTATTTTCAATTGGGTCTGCAATGGTAATGATACCTGATATTTTATCGAACACATTCCATATCCTGGGACTGCTACGTTCTATATATATATTGTCTGTAATTTTCATAATAACTGCAAGTTGGGTAGTGCTCTTTGTTAGTTCTGCTACACTTAACAGTAAATTAGGCATTACAAGTGGATTTCAGAGTTTGACAGATCTGAGTTCAGTCCCTGTTCTTCATTTGCTAGTAAAGTAAACTTGTACCCAAAAGAACCTTTGAGGGCCTTAGTTTTTTCACTAGCTTAATAGTTAATAATTACAGAATTACATTTATCAAGCTCTTTTGTGCCAGTCTTTACATATTCTATAAGTACTTTACATATTCTATCATTTATCCCTCAAAACAACTCTGTGCAGTAAAAAGTACTTAAATAACTTGCCCAAGCTCATATGCTAGTAAATGGTTGAGCTATAATTTGTATCTGAAAATGCATCCAAACTATACTACTATAAAACACTCAGCAGAGAACCCAGATCATAAATGTTCAGTAAATGGTATGATTACAGATGAGGAAGTAAGTCCAAAAAGATAAATAACTGAAGCATTCAGTTAATGTCAGAACTAGTAAATCCAAAACTTCTTACTTCTGATGTAGGAATTTTTTAAAGCTCTGAATTGTTGCTGGAGGTTATCTGAAAGAGGTAATCTAACTCAGTTGTATCTGGAACCCAAAATTTAGTTACAATTTATAGATTAAAACAAACATTAGTAAAAAGACATTTCTGTTGACATTTGAAAACAGCCAGGCAGCTTCTTGTAGCAGAAATAATCGCTGACAGAATATTTACTTATGCTGTCAAAGTGCTTTTACACTTGAACTCCTGAGTAGACTTTTATGTTCTTTGAGGTGGAGCTCAGTAAAAGGAAATTGGATTTCCAATAAGTATTAGGGTCAACAAGTCTCTTACCCTTATTGACTGCTTTTTATCAATCTCACTTCTAAATTTCTTAGTTTCAGTAAGATTCCTATAAAATGAATTTATGACTTTCAGATTGACCTTAATTGTAGCTTCGTTATAATGCTTGAAAAGGTGTTTAGGGATGGGAATGGAAATGACTTTGAAAACTGTCATTTATGACTTTATTGATTTAAGAACTGTTGGCTAGCTTTCTCATTTATGTAACCAGCTCAATATCAGGTTCTTGTCAGTACCTAACCCAAGAGACCATGAGCCAACCACCTTTTTGTGAATAATTTATATTTTTGTGAATAATTTAATGGGAGATACTTCTATAGCTCTGTACTTATTTAGGGGCAATCGAGTGATTTCATCTCTTTTTCAGGCCGTGGGACTCTATCAGATGAGCATGCTGGGGTGATATCTGTTCTGGCTCAGCAAGCAGCTAAACTGACTTCTGACCCCACTGATATTCCTGTGGTGTGTCTAGAATCAGATAATGGGTAAGTAGATGTCAGATCTCTTCCTTTCCCTTTTGTGCACAGAAATCCCTAAGAAACTTGACTGGAGTTTGTCCTGTATTCATCATTAATTACTTAGTCAAAGTACTTCGGCAGATTCCTAACCCTTTGGACCACAGGAACAAATAGGTTAATTTCTAAAGCTAAGGTGCTTTCAGGCTACAATGAAATATAATGAAGAATAATACTTGTCATGAACTATCAGTCTACCAAAAAGAAGAACATTAATAAATAGCACAAAAGAAAACTAATCAGGGCCAGGTATAGTGGCACAGTGCCTGCCTGGCAAGCTCATGGTCCTGAGTTCAATCCCCAGTACCAAAAAAAAAAAGACTAATCAAAAAATAGAAACATAAAAATAATAGAAATAATGATATTCAAAGTGAGGTTCTTCAGAACAATACTAAGTGAAAAAATCAGAATGCAAAACTATGTACACTATGATCACAGTTTTATAAGAGAAAATATGTATAGTATAGATGCACATTAAAAAAATAAGGACCAGGAAATAACGTCCAAGGCCCTGCTTTGAATCACCCACACTGCAAAAAAAAAAAAGAACCAGGAAAACAGTGTCTGTCTGTGAGTAGTAGGATTAAGGATTAATTTCATTGTTACATAATTTTATTTACCAGTATTTTCCAGATATTTCATTGTGCTCATATATTGCTTTTATACATATGTATGTTATTTTAGTTGTGTCTTAAAGACAATTTTTAAATTTTTACATCTTTTAATTTTAAGCTGAAGACCTACTGGTTAACATTTTACTGAATACTTTTTTCTTTCCCTTTCAGGAACATTATGATCCAGAAACATGATAGCATCACAGTGGCAGTGCACAAAATGGCCTCTTGATGTCTCCTGTCAGATCTTCAGCACCCTTTCATTGGGACTCAGTCCTACTTGTTAATTATCCTGTAAAACTATTACAGTTCCAGTGATTAGGCCATTCATCTGATGTGCACTGGGCACTTTTCTATTTAATTTGGAGTAAGTTGCTTTTTGACCATCCCATCATGATATTAGAAGGAAAGGATCGTGTTTTGAGGCAGCAGGTCCAGGTTACTTTGTATATAGAATTTTATGTTCAGTGAATCTGTGTAGGGCCGGGGATTTAGCTCAGTGGTTCTGTCACTTGCCTTGCAAGCACAAGGACCCAAGTTCGAACCCTGGTACCAAAAAAAAACCAAAAAAAACAAAATAAATCTGTGTAGAGGAAAGCTTACATCTTTTCTGGATTCTTTAAACTCTTCTCAAATGCTTTTTCTTCCCAGTTATCAAATTATAATTTTTTTCAAAAAGATAGTAGTTCCAAACTACTTCTCTTTCAGAAGCTTCCTGAAATGCCTATAGTGTTACAGAAGTGTCCATGGATATTTAAATCAAGCACATTCTTCTACCTCTATAATAGCTAATATCACTGTTTATTATATGCCAGAAACTTATCTCTCATTATATAGTATAGTAGGTACTCTTAATTGCCATATATTATGTTTGTAAAACTAAGGCTAAGAGATCGAACAGAGTCATTATTTGGACTTAGGACTCCAGTTCAGGGCCTGTACTCAAACCATCGAAGAAATAAGCGTATTCAACCAGAAAAAAAATATTTTTACCATTTGAAAGTACAAGTCAGTGTTGCCTTCTCTTCAGCCTTCAGTTTTCAACAACACAATGGGTACACAGGCAGGCACAAAGGACCTCAGTGTTAAATTTGAATACAGTGCCTGTTGCTAATTAGTAATTTAACATTTCACAATATAAAGTGCTGTGTGAAGGTAATAAAGATTTAGAATAAGACAGAAGGGATATGTATGTCATACTCTAGACATGTTTGTTTTTATTATGTCTTGCCACCAACATACACATTTTGAGGACATGTGCTTTATCTTATTTACATACGTATCCTAAGCAACTAGAACACTTCCTAGTAGATACAAAATAGACATTAAATAAATACATGGGTATATAACTAATACAAGAGGGTCTTGTGGTATGAACTGGGTTTCCAGAGTATAGATGGTTGTGATGAGGAATAGGATTTTTAGGCAGAGAAAATGGGAATGACAAAGGATAAAGCAAAAAAGGATATTTATGTAATAAATGCTTCAGTTTTGTCTATTAGGAAATGAAAAAGCTAGAAGGCTGGGCAGGCTAACTCAAATCGAACATCTGCTTAACAATCCTGGGCTTTTTCCTTTCAGAATGGGTTTTGAAGCAGTTGAGAGTATAGATGGAGGTATAAGGTTAATCTATAGATCAAGCTTACTTTTTCTTTAGAGAAAAACTTCCTCATTCATGTATCCAATTCCTACCCTAACATAAGAGCCAAACTTTTTTTGCCATATGCTAGACACATGCTAAGCAATTTACATGCATTTATCTCATTTTGTCCTCTATCTTATAAAGTATTATGTCCTTTTTAGATCAGAAAAAATAGGCTGGAATTGGTTAAAGTGTGGTTGTATGCAGTTTCCCAAGACTGTCCCTATGGTGGTTAATTTTATGTATTTTATGCAATGAATTACAATACACATGAAATGCCAGGTAATGCTAAAACGGGGCTGATCACATAAGCACTTTCTGCCTTATACTTACCAAACTTCGAGAAGGAAAGCAACAATTCACAAACTATAGTGTTTGCACACGTTTAGGCACAGTGACCCACTCATCATTTAGGGAATGATGGGAACTCTCCCAAGTTCTCAGGTGCCAGCTAGAGGTCAATCTTGTAAGCAGAGCTTTCAAAGGACAGGAGTGTCAAGCTAGCTATGTTAACTTCTGCACAAGGACTGAATGAGGACAGGGAAGGGTCCAGCCAAAAAAATATCCAAGACATTAGTACTGTATTTTAAGTCTCAAAAAAATACTCATTTACCTCACAAGCGCAAGGTCCCGAGTTCAATCCCCAGTACCAAAAAAAAAAAAAAAAAAATACTCATTTGACTTCCCTGAGGCTAATAGTGGTGACAGGAAATCATGCTACATTCTTGTCAAATAGCTTTAGGGCCAAAAGTTAGAAGGTGAGAGGCTAAGGGAATTACTTAAAGACCCTGTAAGCTTTATTAAGTCAATTGAGTCCAGACAACAAAGTGTTAGTATCACTAAGATGGTTTAATAATTCTTTGCTCTTGCTATTAGGCCCCATCTGATTAACAGCAATTTTTAATGAATGAAATACCAAGAACACTTCTGTAAATATGGAGTCATCTTTCATATGTATTGTTAATCTTTGAAACAACCTTGCAAAATAGAATTAGCTATATTTTACAGTTTTGGAAACAGAGAAGGTAACTTGACAGAGGCCTTGAGGCTTAAAAAATGGCACAGTTGCAATTCTAACCAAATCTGCATTCTCCACTACACCTCAAAGTTTCCTGTTAGGGCTAAGGATTTAGCTCAGTGGTGCCGCTGCCTGCCTCCCAAGCACGAGGTCTGGAGTTCGATCCCTGGTACCAAAAAAAAAAAATTTCCTGTTAATGTGTTTATGTTCAAGATAATATTTAAAAACTCAGCGCTGAGGATTTTGCAACCCTCTTAAGCCTCAGAATGACTTTCTCTTCTACCACTTTGCAAATTTGGCCCCAGCCCTGGGCATCAGATCTATCAATATATAAAACCTACCATCATCTCACATCGTGTTTTTGTTTGTTCATTTATGTTTTTGTTATTTTAATGTTTTTTGAGACAGGATCTCACTATGTAGTTCAGGCTGGCTTCGAACTCACTTTGTAGCAGCCCAGGCTGGACTGGAACTAACCATGATCTTCCTGTCTCACCTTCCTGAATGCTAGGATTACAGGCATGCACCACTACATCCAGCTTCACATTGTGATTAAAGCCCTACTTTTAAAAAAGCAACAAGGCAGTGGTGGAGTTTGAGGTCAGCCTGGGCTACATAGCAAGACCCTGACTCAAAAGCCAAAGAGCAACAAATGTGCCACCAAAAAATTACAAAGGTCCCATAAATGTTTAATTTTAAAATGTGTAATTAACAAAGCTGTCTGAGAAGGCATGGTAGTACACACCTGTAATCTCAGCACACCAGAGGCTGAGACAGGAGCATCACAAGAGTTCAAGGCCTCCTTGGGCTACATAGTAAGTTCAAGGGCTAGAACTGCACAGCAAGACCCTGTCTCAAAAAATCAAAAGCCAACAAGCCCACAAAATCCTCAAAGAGATGTGAAAAACATTCCCTTTTTTCCTTTGAGTTTTGCCTTCTGCTGAATGTTTATTTGATCCCTAACATCAGCACTACATAATTGCATAATCTTCTCTTGGTTACTTATTCAGAGTATCCTCCTAAATGACTAAAAACTGTCCTTCTGCAAGCACTTTAATCACAAAAATATTTGATTAAACATTATAGAGTTTGGCTTTTAGAGGCTGAGAAAACCCTTGCTTTTTAAAAGGGAACATTCATAAACATGAAGATTTTCCAGATAAAATAAAAAATAACCTAAAATACACTCTGGTTTAAGATCTGGAATGTCGGTGTGGGGAGATGAAAGACAATTTTCTGTTGACTTTATTTTTATTTTTTTGGTATGTGGAGGGTGGGGCAGAGGAAGGAAATGGGAATAGAAAAATTGAAGTATCCTGGTAATTTTCTAAGAGACTCAAGAATCATTTCCAAAATGCAGTAAGAAAAATGTTTTATCAAAAATTACTAATAAATATATACATCTCTTGTGGGAGGTGTCTGAAATTAAGATAAGCAGGTATCAAAAAACAAAATGAAGCTGGGTTAGCTCAGTGGTTCTGCCGCCTGTCTCACAAGCCCAAGGTCCTGAGTTTGATCCCCAGTACCAAAAAAAAAATGTACAGGCTGAATTTGGGGAAAATTGCCACATGTGCGTGTAAATAAAGGATTAAATCCATGGCCAAATACAGGCACTGTGCTCTACCACTGAGCTATGCCCCAAGCTCGCTCCATTACTTGTGGGACGAAATGTATATTCCTTTTCCAAAATGAGCAAGTCTTAAGAGTCTCCTGAGGAACTCGAGACACGTGTATTGGAATTCTGGAGTCCTATCTCCTAGCTCTGAGCACAGTCACCGAAAGGATTTTCTCCTTGGTTTACTCAACAATTACTTTTGACCCCACAGTGGAAAAAAAAAAAAAAATCTGCCTTTTGAGGAACAGTGGGCGGGGGCGGGCCTGAGGCGCTCTCAAATTTCAGCCTCTCCTCTTCTTCTCGGGAAGTAAAGTCCACCAACGGAGCGCGTAAACTAGCTCTGCCCTCCCTCTACAATGCTCACTTGTTTTCACAGGGCAGCGGAATGAAATGCCTTAGAAAAACAGTAATATTCTAATAATATCACTTATTTTTGCTCCTAAATTGCCTTGACTGTGAGACTCCTTTGCCGAAAACATCAAAGGTAAGGAAGAAAAGGGATGGTGTGTGGGTTTGTTTTCCAGGAGGTCTGGAATGACCCGCACCTCTGCTTTCAGCCTGCTCTGAGGACAGCCATTGCACCACGCTTCTGGCTGATACTCCTTTCCAGAAGGAACATCCTGCCTTCAAGTTGACAGTGGGAAATAGTGAATGCTACACACCTTTCTCAGAATATTTATGTTTTCTTTTCACTATATGTATATACTATAACTATACATATATATTATACTACATAGAATGTTACTGAAGTGTGTGAGAGGTAGCAGACACTATGAAACTTCACTCCTCAGTAATTTAGCATTTCTAAACAAGAACAGTGTCCTACAGATCCATAAGATCACCATCCTACCCACGAGATTTAACCTCAGTACAGCACACTCTACTACACAGTTCATATTCTGGTTTCTCCAATTGTACTTCCCGTCTTTTCTAATCCAGAATCCATTTAAGGATTGCACTGTTATTGTCTATTCAGTTCCTTAGAATAGCTACATTTTACCAGATACTCTGTAAAGAGACTTCCTAAACCCAAGACTCTCCTCCCTCATTGCTGTATACTCAAGAGTTTGCCCAGACACATCTTTCCCTAGAACCGGCTTGCAGCCTGGGGATTTGAGTAGAAGGAAAGGATCCTAAGTGTTGGTGTTGTGGCCATTCCACACACAGGCCCTGCAGTTAACTAAGTCTTTAGGTGCTTCAGGGAGACTTCACTATAATTAAGAGGGTGGGGAAAATGACAGTATAAGTGGGGTTATACCACAGAGAAAAATGAAGTTTCAAAGTTTATAGTTTCTTGACAGCAGATTCTTCTGCAATTAAAACAGGAAACATCATGCTGAAGAGAGCTAGGAAGGCCCGATCTGACAATCAAACCCTGGATGGAGGATGGGGATGGATGATTGTGCTTCACTTTTTTCTGGTAAGTATTTTCCCCCTTCCAACTGCCTGGGCTCTTTAAAGAAAGGCTCAGAGCAGCCCAGCAACATCACTTAGAAAATCCTTAGTATGTGAGTGAGCAAGGGCCAGGAACCGCCCACAACTGCTAGTCAGAGGCCCATGCTAAGCCCAGGAGAAAGCTCAAATGCCCCTTGATGGAAAACAAAAATGTTCCAATTCAGTCCTTTACTCTTCCTCAAACCCTGTCTCTTAAACCTGGTGAATATCCTAGTTGTGATCAGTAGCTCTCCCCTGGCTGCATGGCAGTTAGAATTTAGGAATAATCATACTTTTAACCATCTACTTAGCAGTGGTAAAAAGTGCCCAGCTAAGGGCCAGGGATTTAGCTCAGTGGCACTGCACCTGCCTTGCAAGCACAAGGTCCTGAGTTCAATCCTCAATACCAAAAAAAAGTGCCTAGCTCAGTCCAGCATTTACATACAACACAGCTGACGGCTGCCCCTTCAATGACCTGGTATGAGGAGTTTCCTCTCAGGTTAGACTCTAATTTGAGATCCTCCTGCCTCAGCTTCTGAGTACTGGGATTACAAGCATGTATTATCATGCCCAATTTGCATTCTGTCTTTTAAGTTAACTTCTTTCCTTCATCCTTCTGGACAGTCCTGGGGTTATATGAGACAGCGGTGATGTGCATCATTCATATGCCCATTCTAGAATACTGGTGGATCCTACCACTGCTGTGTCCCCAAACACCCATGCACCAAGTGGCACTAGCTCCACAGCTTAAGTGTTCCAGATGTGCTCTTTTGAGATGCACTCAGAAAAACAGCCTTTTTCCTTCTGATGATCTCTTTGCTCCAACCCACAGTAAGTAGCCCAGTGATGACATCACAGGTCCTGATGACTACTGATGTCATACTCCTCTATAAACTGTAAGGTGGGAAAATATTCTTCCCTAGACACAGACAAGGGGAAAGTACGGGAGAGGTCCCAGCCAGGATTTATGTAATACAGCACTATTTGTTAAACATTTATTTCATTACCAGTGAATGTAGAACCCTCCCCCTCCCTCTACCATCACTGCCCTAAGAAGTGTTAGTTGTAGGGAAATAAGGATGCCTGGAGTCTGAGGGCCCTTCCTGGCTGGGCCACTTCCCAAATCACGCTTTGCAGAGGTGAAGTTATTAACAAGGGTCTCTAGTTCTCCTCCCTAGGAATCACTCTTTCCTGTGAATAGGAAGTTATTGATCAATTTAGTTGCTGATAAGAAAAACTGCCTAGTGATCAGATAAATAATGTCCAATTTTGGGAGTGTAATGCCTTTTATTAAAGCATACAAAAAATATCAAGATGTTAACAATCAACACAGGGGCAATTGCTTCCAGTGGTAATGTTGTTCCTTAGAGAACTATGCTTTTATCTCTATGTAAGTCACAAATATTTTTTCAACAGCTGAGCTTCTGAAAAAGTAAATGAAAAATAACTAGAGGTGCTTTAGGAGCTTTCTACTTAAGGAGGTGGGGTTATATTTCTAACTTACCCCACTTTATTGCTACATATTTATTTAACTTTTCTGAGTTCAGTCTGTCTCATTGGACTAAATGTTCCTTAAGGCAGTGACCACATCTGCATTGCTTACCAGTGTACCCTTACCACTCCCTGCCCTAATGTTCAGCCTGGAACATAGTAGGCACTCAGTAACTACTTGCTAGTAGATGAATGAAATGACAGGCATACTTATGAATAAGTAAGAAGAGGAAATCAAGGACCTTGTAAGACAGGCTAAGAACATGTAAGACATCTTGAAATGATGAAGTGTTAATGAGAAAAACTAAGCAGGGGAGTGACAGGATTTGATTTGCATTTCAGAAACAGTTCTGGCTGCTGGGTGGATAATGGATTAGTGAGGGTTATGAAGCAGGGAGATCCACTGGAGGGATGCTGTAATAATCCAGGTTAGATAACAATAAGGCCCTTAATTAAGACAGTAACAACAGGGCTAGAGAGAAAATACAGATCTGAACATATCAAGGAGGTAAGGTAGACCTGTAAGACATGAAGAGAAATTAGTTGTCAAAGAAAAGGAGTCATTAAGTTCTGGGTTGTTGGCTTGACCAACTTGGTGGGTGATGAGTATGATTTACTGTTTTGGAGGACACAGAAAGAGCGGGGAGAAAAATCTGAAGACGGCTTGGTTTAATCATGGACAGTGAGTCTGAGGGACTTATAACCAAGAATGTGTTTGGCATATGGTCTGTGTACATGGGGAGCATAGCATCTCCACACTACCAGCCTACATGGTAGCTTGGACTTCAGGGCAAGTGGGTAAAATCACAACTGAAATTAGAGAGGGAGAAGAGAGACTGGAATAAAGCCTTGAGAAAAATTAATGTAGGAGATGAGTGGAACAGCCCACGGAGGATACTGAGAAGTAGAGAAGTCGCAACCCAGAAATTTTCAGGAGAAAATGATTTGCAGATGCTGTTAGAGGTCAAGTATTAAAGAACTGAGAGCAATCTACTGGCACAGCAACAAAGTCTCTGATAACCTTGACACGAGCTGTTTAGAGTAGCAGGGACTGAAGCTAGTGGACTTTAATTTTCAGTGCAGCGGCAGGATGAAAGGAAGTGAAAATACCTGATAGACTCTTCTTTTAAAAAGCTTGTCTATAGGGCCGGGGGTTTAGCTCAGTGGTTCCGGTGCCTGCCTCACAAGCAGAAGGTCCTGAGTTCAATCCCCGGTACCAAAAAAAAAAAAAAAGCTTGTCTGTGAAGGATAAGCTAGGTTAATACCAGAGAGGGACACAGGGCAGAAAGAAGCATTTTTAAATAAAAGTAACTCTGACAATGTCTGTTCTGATTTCAAAATGGACTGGTCTCCTCACTCCTGTCAAAATGACCTGGTGAGGGAGCTCTTTACTTGGGAGAGTAGGGGAAGTCCTGCTTAAGGTGCTCCTGCTGGGCTCAACCCAATTAACTGCTGTTAAAGATAATAAGGAAATGAGGGAACTGGAGAATTTCTAGGGTTGTTTTATTTGAGAGGGGGCCACTTACAGTGTCTTATGTGGACTCTGGTGACAGGATTGAAACCCACCACACATGGTCTAAGGCATGGAATTAAGCAGATAATACAGGTTTATGTAGTCTGCTTAGTTAATTAAGGGAAAACAGACACTGGGAGAGAATTTTAGTATCTTTAAGTCAATATAGAAACAAAGTGGGAAGATGTCAAGTTAAAGACAGGGAGTAGATGTGTGAGGGCTTTGCCCCTGGCTTTCCTGATACACAGAAGATAAACTCTGTTATTAGATAGGTCATTTCTATTCATTGCTGCTACACCTAGATATCAAAGATAGACCAAAGAAATAAGATTCTAAACTGGAAAACCAGTAGCTACCAAATTTAGGTGGCTAAGAACACAGATGTCAGCATCTTACAGGCAGCAGCACAGAACCTGTGTCCACAGAAAAACAAGGAAGTTGCCTTTTACAGAATGACAACCTACTTGAGTCTTTTTTTGTTCTGGAGATGACACAATCACCACTCTACTTTGAAGTGAGAGACAAGTCTAGGTCATTTGAGATTTGTATGTATTTTGTAGCCCGATTTCCTAATAGGTCTTAGAGGAAAATTACAGTCATAAATTACCTGAATGAGGGGGCTTGATAAAGTATTTTACTTTTGAATATATAGCCCCTGGTGCCCATAACAATGTTCTTTCTCAATAACTAAAGTTTTGTACTATTTATCAAGTCAGAATGAGAAAAAAATACATTTGAGACTTCCTTTCTTATTACCTCAACTTTTGCAACCTCTGAGCATCACTACTGATTCTTAGTCCTTGTCTCCAGATAAAATACTAGTCTAAAAGAAGTCTAGTGATGGTGATAAAAGAGGGGAAGACCTTGTTGATTAATTAGAAAACAGAGTTTAAAGGAAGGAGGTGTCTAAGAGGAAGCAAGTCTGTGACTGTGGTGGGTAGATAGTACCAATCCAAAAATAATCTGAAAAAAAGAAGATATGGGATAAGAGAAAGATGAGTTAAGTTTAGACAAGTTGATCAGGGTTAGAAAGGTAGACAGATATGAGTTTAAGCTTTTGGGAAAGAAGAAAACCACAAGATAATAAAATTGTATTTCAGTATTTAAGTGGCAAGTATTAAGTACTTTCCCAGAAATTTCTAAATGATTCTACACATTCCTATGCCCTAGTTAACATTTTCATTACTCACTTCACAAAAAAGAAAGCTGAACCTCTATGAAGTAGTTTGCTCAAGGTATCCAAAGGCACACTCTAGTGGGAAGCTGAGCCAGGCTGCAATGAAGCCAAGTCTGGTTTATAGCAGATCTATATTTGAAACTGCGCCATCATGACTATGTGGGAGGTAAATAAAACCTTAGGAGTAAATGATGTCCACAAAGCAGGTACAGTATTAAGTGAAATGAGTAAAAAACCATAAGGGAAAATACCAGTGGACAGGGCAGGGACAATCAGTAAAAGATAACACAGGGTTCTGTGGTACTTAACAATGCCTAGCCAGGTTAAAAGCAGAGAAAGTGGCCTTGAAAAGCCAAGGCTAGTCAAAGAAGGAAAGGAAGGGGGAGCCCCTGGAGACAGAGTGAACACAAGTTGCCTTCTGGATATTGAGAGTACAGACCCTAGCTAGGTTTGCTTCTGAGTCCCAACTTCCCTTATCTCCCCCCACCCTCAATCCTGTAGGGGACAGTCTGTCAGATAAAAGATGATTCCCCTGGCTACAAGCTAGTTAGCATCCTGAGAAGCAGAAGTTAAGAGTATACAGAATGAAAACTGAGCTCAAAAGGAGAAGTTCTTCAAATGGAAAGGAATACAAGAGGCAAGCAACAAGGGTTAAGTAGGACAAAGACAGGGGTGGGGGGTTGGGGTGTGTGTGTGTGTGTGTGTGTGTGTGTGTGTGTGTGTGGCATAGGACCCAAACATAAGATGACCAAACATACAGTTAACCCTTGCTGTCAGCATTTTTTGTTTTCAAGAGTATCCCAACTTGGATGACAAATTACATGGTCACTCTAATTAGATATCAAGTGACAGAGGATATTCAGCTCAAGAGCAGAGATAAAACAAAGCTAGTCTAAGAACTGGCAAGAATAATTCTTCCTTTTAAAGGCAAAGGCTTTCTCTCATGTAGGTAAGTGTAAGAGCTGACCTTAACAAATGGTACAGTGGGGCTGGGGATTTAGTTCAGTGGTTCCACCACCTGCCTCGCAAGCACAAGGACCCGAGTTCGATCCCTGGTACCAAAAAAAAAAGAAAACAAATGCTACGGTAACAGGGCAGTGGAGTCATGGACTGTTCAGTCAGTCAATCTGCATACAAATCTCAGCCCATCTTAAACATTTTTCTCTCTAAACTTCAAATGTCTGTTCTCATACAATACTTAATACTGACAAACCTAAAGCATCGATACTAGGATTAAACGAAATCACTTTCATGTAATATGCTTAGCTACTCCAAAAAGGAATGACCTGCCAGCACCACCAAATCTAAGATATGAAATGAGGAACCATCAATAAAGCAAACTGGTAAATACTAGTGAGCTGGGGCAACAGAACCTCAACAGCTGTAACCTCTTCTGTACAGGTTTGCTCAGCACCTGACTTGGACTCTTTGGTCTGTTTTGATTTAGGTAAATGTGTTTGTGATGGGGACGACCAAGACTTTTGCAATTTTTTTTGTAGTCTTTCAAGAAGAGTTTGAAGGTACCTCAGAGCAAATTGGTTGGATTGGATCCATTATGTCTTCACTTCGTTTTTCTGCAGGTATAAAGTTGGTAATAAACTTGCTGCACATGGAATATGCACTTATAATGCCAAGAAAGTAAGGAATTACAATGCTTACCTCCTATGTGACTTGGTATCTAAATTGGAAAAATCAGGATTCAAACAAAGAAAGTTGAAGTATTCAGCTATTTAATTCCATGATTCAAGTTTTCGTACCTTTTTGTTTTTGAGACAGTGTCTCTCTGTGTAACTCAGGCTGGCCTTGAACTCACAGCTATGCTCCTGCCTCAGCCTCTCCTGGGATTACAGGCCTGCACCACCTCGTCTGTTTTGTTGTTGTTGTTGTTTTAGGTAGGGTCTCACAATGCACCACCATGCCCAGCTCATAGTTTCCTACTGGTCTGGTGATGCCTTCCTACAAGGCCAATGAGCCAGGCCATCCACCTGTAAGTCAGACCATTAAGTTCTAACCATCTAATCACATTCAAAACAAAACAGAACCAACTTTTCTTCTTCTAGTTTTAGTTGACACTGTAATATGGTAGCAATTAGTGAGCTTTGTACTAGTCAAAGGGCACTAGTATAATCTCATTTTTTAGACGTTTTGTAATTATTTTCAATACAATTTCCCTCTAAACCATCTTATGATCTTTAACTTTCTAAAAAGCAAAATATTGTGGGTCTAGTAATAATAAGAAACCTAGTAAAAACACATTTTTGAAGTACATACAATACTCCACAGTAAAGTCCTCTTGTTTTCCTTCATTCATTTAAATCATACATCAGAAGTTAAAGGATGCTAGAGGACATCTGCTTTGCAGTTACTTTTCTTTCTTCATCCTAAGGTCCTCTGGCAGCTATTATTTGTGAACTGCTCGGAGAGAAAGCTACCTCCATTCTTGGGACATTGCTTGTTGCTGGTGGCTATGTGATCAGCAGCTGGGCCACAAGCATTCCCTTTCTTTGTGTGACTATGGGACTTTTACCTGGTGAGTACACTGTAAAGATGGAACAGACTTTCCCTTCAACTGCCTATGGGTCCAAAAGGCCCAGTTATATGATCTCAAATCCAGAATATCTCATCTGGTACCAACCCATCTAATGTAAAAATAATTCCAAACTACTATTTTTCTTTTAGGTTTGGGTTCTGCGTTCTTGTACCAAGTAGCTGCTGTGGTAACTACCAAATACTTCAAAAAACGATTGGCTCTTGCTACTGCTATTGCCCGTTCTGGGATGGGACTGACATTTCTATTGGCCCCCTTTACAAAATTCCTGATAGATCTTTATGACTGGACAGGTGAGTCAATCTAAGTCTCTAAACAATCAGCTCTCTCAAGATATAATGTTCAGCTCTTTCCCTTTGATGGCTGGAAATGAAGATTTTAAAAGCAATCAATTTCAAAAGGTATTGCCACGGCAGGAAAACAAAACTTTAAAAATATTGTCAGAGAGGAAATAAGCATGCTATCTAAAGTAAACATGCTCCTTTTCCTTGGAGAATATATCACGAGAGATCCTGAAGGACATACAGGATTTGCCATCTCACACAAGGAACTCAGAATTCATCAGAGTACAGCGTCTAAGCAGATGGAGGCCACTCTGCATGGTATACATCCTTGCTGTGGCTGTGATAACCCCCAGGAGAAACAACCCCCCTCACACACACACACAAGAAATTCACTTTTAATATTTTATTTATTTGGGGAGGTTTTTTTTGCTAGAGTCTTGCTATATAGTCCAGGCTCCCAAGAGCATGGATTACAGGCGTGCACCACCACTCCTAGCTCACTTTCATATTTTCAGAAAGTTATCTGCATTTTAAAAAATTCCTCTTCCACCAGAAAATAGATGAAACAGAAAAAAATTAGGTAAAAAGGATTCTATTAATCTTTAAATCTTAATTCTGAATTTTCACAAATAAAAATCACTCATGCCATAATTTTCTTTGCACCTTAACATAAGCCAAGTTAAAATAATCTTTAAATTACTGGAGAAGATGTATATACGGCATACATATGTGGATGTATGTATGTGTAGTTATATGCCTATTTCTACCTTGCAACTCGACTCTTCTCTAAGTAAAATCTATTCAGTAGTCTCATGCTGAATGGCACCAACTAACAAATTAAGATGGACAGCAGAACCTAACACTCATTCATTATAAGCACCATATATAAGTAACAGCTTTGGTAAGGATGTGCTGAAACCAAGCAACTCCTCAGCTTCAAAGACAAGACTAGCATCTGTTTTCCTTCAAAGAAAAAATTTAAAATGGCATAGTATGAAAAACTTTCCTCTTTTCTAAGGTTTCTTCTTCTTCTTTTTGGTACTGGGAATCAAATTCAGGGCCTTGTGCTTGCCAGGCAGGCCCAGCGCCGCTGAGCTACATCCCCGGCCCTCTAAAGTTGTTTCTAAATAATTCTGTCATTTAACTGTGTATTTTCTGAACATAAATCTAACCTGTCAGTTCAGGATATTTAAAACTCCTATTTAAAACATTACAGTTTTCTATTTAAAATACTACTTGCTCCTCAAAAAAGATGTGTTTTATTTGTTCCCTTTAGCAAAAATAAATACCTCTCCTTCCCTCTCATCTTCTAATGGTGCAGATTTATGGTTTTCTATTTTCAAAGGACATGAATATAGCAGTGTATATAACTCACAAGTCAAGAGCCTTAAACTAAATGCTTTCATTTTAAATTGGGAAGCAAAATAGTGTTTTCAAGAATTACTGTACCATGTAGTGAGGTCTCTTCTGAGACTATGAGTACAAGGCATTGTGAATGGAAAGGTTTTTTTTAACTTTTCAATTTCTCTCTCCTATTTAGGTGCCCTTATATTATTTGGAGCTATTGCATTGAATTTGGTGCCTTCCAGTATGCTCTTAAGACCTATCCATATCAAAAGTGAGAACAATTCTGATATTAAAGTTAGCAATTTGTCTGCAAGTGGTCCAGAGGCACAGTGTGGGACAGAAACATCACACTGTAATGACACACAAGAGTTTTTCATCAAGGACAATACTATGCAGAAAGCTGCACAACCTGATAAAATTTCAACAGTTTCACAAAATCAAAGTGAAGAGTTCAACAGTGGGCCTAACAGGAACAAACTGTTAATGAATGATGAAGAAAGTTGTAAGAAAAAGGCTATTTCATGGAGTTCTGAAGAGAAACTCTTTGACATTTCTCTTTTGAGGAATCCTTTCTTCTGGATATTTACCTGTTCTTTTCTCCTCAGTCAGTTGGCATATTTCATCCCTACTTTTCACCTGGTTGCCAGAGCCAAAACACTGGGGATTGATATCATGGATGCCTCCTACCTTGTTTCTGTGGCTGGTAAGAAACCTACAACCTCCTACCTAGAAGGAAAATGAATTTAGTTTACAAAATGTTATCTAAAAGCTGAAGAGAAGCAACAAGAGTTAAGGAAAGGCCAGAAAAACAAGGTTTTCGAGGGTAGGTGGAGCACCAGGGTGTTTCTCTGCACAGATCTGTCATTATACTTTGCACATAGATTCCACTACATAAGGGCCCCTCACCCAAGTCTTATTTATTTTCATGTACTTCATACAGAATTTTAAAAAGCTGGTGCTCAGTGGCTGCAGCTACTCCAAGAAGTTAAAAAATCCCGATGGACAGCGTAGTATCATAGTTGAAAGGATTAGTACTGGAGCTTGATTTCCCAGGTTCAGGTCCTTGCTGTTTTTCCTAGCTGTGTGTCCTTGGGCAAGTTACTAGCTTTTTCTGTGCCTCAATGTCCTCATCTGTGACATACACATAACAATACCTATCCTCTTAAGGGTCAGGATTAAAAATGTACTGCATGTCGTTTAGTATATAGTGCCTTGGCCTACAGGAAGCATTCAACATTAGATTAGTATTTGTAGTTGTTTATTTCCCCTTGAAATAACAGTAAAACAAATATGACTCGAGGCTAGTCATATTAGCTAATATTTAAAATAACTCAAAATATAAAACCACTTTAGTTGAGTACAGTCATTAAAATGTTTAAAGACAGAATACTTGATCAAGAAGCTGAAGATTCTCAAATGACAAAATAGACTAAAAAGAACCTGCCCAGCATAGTGGCATACACCTGTAATCCCGGCATTTGGGAGGCTGAGGCAGGAGGAATGTTGTGAGTTCAAGGCCAGCCTAAACTACATAAGGAGACCCTGTCTTAAAAAAAAAAAAATCTCATTTCCTCACCTGCAGGACATGTGAGTAAAGGACTGCAAGGGTCCAAGCCTAGGGTACTTAGTAATCAGGGATTCCCAGTCAAGTGTTATCAGCTTTCCAAACACACACACACCCCATACCTGGCAACTTGATAGTTTCCCACTCAATTCTGGAGAAGCCTTGTCTTTCTGACATTTTACTGAATTTATTTATAGGTAAATGATAGATTCTGTTTTGGTAGACAAATGAAATTTTTTCCCTCACTTATCTTGGCCTCAGAATGAGTTCATATCCTTGGGGAAAGATGCATTCCTATTTTTTCAAAGGGGCTAGGAAAATGGAATTAAGATTTCCTAAGACTTTTTCTATATTGTTTCAGGTATCATTGAGACAGTCAGCCAGCTTATTTCTGGATGGGTTGCTGATCAAAACTGGATCAGGAAGTACCAGTACCACAAATCTTACCTCATCTTCTGTGGCATCACTAACTTGCTTGCTCCTTTAGCCACCACATTTCCTCTACTTATGACCTATACCATCTTCTTTGCCATTTTTGCTGGTGGTTACCTGGCACTGATACTTCCTGTACTGGTGAGTAGACATTCGTTAATACTTTTGATGTTAGTGTCAATCTCCCCAAAAGAGAATACATATTTTATATTACTTTAATTAAAAAAAAAACATACCGAAGGCCTCAGAAATCCTATAGCTAGTTGTATTCTGTCCAATTATTCATCTTAAGGGGAAGGATGAGAGGGCCAGCCACTTCATTTTGCTTATCAGTCTCCTACTTGTGCCCTCTCCTTCAGCTCCAGGACAGTCTTTGGCTCCAAGGCACAATCTTAGAGTTCTCAGGGAACTCTTCAAGAGAAAACCAGTAAACCAATGTGGCTTCTTTCTTGTTGAGGTTATTAGCACTGGTCCTGCGTACTTTAACAGGGACATTAGTGGTTTTTGTTATTTAATCTTTTCATTTTTACTCTAAATTGCCTTAAAATCCCAGGCCAGATAGAATTGAAATATACATAAAAACAGTTCTGTGTTCTTGGAATCCCTTGGGCTCTTAGAACCAGGTCCTCAATGTGCTAGAACAAAATCCCTGGGACATTTCTAGGCTGTTCCTGACCAGAACACTGTAGCTCGCTTAGGCAAAACTCCAGCTTTCTAAAGCCAAAATCAACTCGATTGTGACATTTGAGCTCTTACAAACCCATGGTTGGTAATAGGCCATAGGTGGATTCAGGAGTATCACTGTCAGCTCAGATTTAAAATACCATTTCCTAATAGAGAAGATCAGTGAGATTCGGGGGCGGGGGGCACTCTAAACAACGTAAGAGGATTTTAAAAACTAAAAACAAAAGCCAGTGTTCTACCAATAATCTGCAAACACTGCCTGCCTAGCCAAGTCATTATTCCTTATTTGACCCATGCTTTCACTGGGGGCAAATGGCCACCCAAATTACCTATGAAGTCAAGTGATCATTTGAGACGATATAATTGCCTCTTTATAGTCATAACCTTTATAGAATTTTATCCTATAGAATTTTATGGATAACACTGAATTCTAATCCCTACAGGTTGATCTGTCTAAGAATTCTAGAGTACACAGGTTTTTGGGACTTGCTGGTTTCTTTGCTGGGATGGCTGTGCTTGCTGGACCTCCTATAGCAGGTAACTGAGCCACATTTTAAGCAAATTTCAACATCAATAAAACAGTGAACTAGGGTTAATATTAACATATAATGATGTATGAGGTTACAAAATTTGATATCTCTAGCTTTCCTGTGTGTACTCTTCTTCATCACCAATACAGGAAAATATATGGTTTACTTCAACAGATGTGACTAAGAAGATTCTTATATTCTCTTGTGAATCTGAGAGAGAGACAGGACTGCATATATGTCAACTTATCTGGGGAGATAATCCAGTTTCATCAGTCTCAAAGAACCATGTGATGCTTTAAAAAAAAGAACCACCACTAGTGTTATCTAAATAGGAGTCACTTTTACTGAGCTTGAAGGCCACCAGCCTGATACTTTTGTTCTCTAATGTGCCAGAGCTGTCCAGGGCTGCCCAGGATCTCTTCTTTTCAGAAGGAGGGAGAACCTTCATATTCTGTCTATACCAAGAATAGGAGAACACATGACCTAAAGGGAGAATCTCTATGGAGAAGTTATCTGGGCCCACTAATAAACATTATATACAAGTATGTACAGTAACTATCTGGGGAATTCTGATTATTTAAGACTGAATGTAGTTTTACATTCACCTTTCACCTAAGTGGGTATTTTGTGCTTGTTAAACATTTAATCTGACTACTAAAAACTTGACTACTCATACAGATATTTCAGGGACAAGGCTTAGATGTTAATTTCTTATAAACTAAAGGTTTCAATAATTCAATAATTTGAATGTATAAATTAGTGCAACATTTACAATCATCCACAAAAAGGAATTTAGCCTAAAACTCACTTTTGCTACTTTGACCTCTGGCATGAGACAAAAAAGGGATCTGATCTTACCCTACTATAATCTTTTTTTTGGTACTGGGAATCAAACTCAGGGCCTCCTGCTTGCCAAATGTGCTTGTGCCGCTAAGCTACATTCCTAGCCCAATAATATTTTAAAAATTAAATTTTATCATGATGTTAAGTTTGCACCTTTTGACACTTAGAAAAGGCAAATATTGAAAGAAAAAGAATATAAATTTATGATAGCAAGAAGTATTACCAGAGGAAAATACTCACTAGGAGTTGAGGTTCAGTTTAAGTGTATTCTAAAGGAAAAAATTACCAACTGCATTATTTGCATTTATGAACACACCCTTTCCCATGTTGTCTCTCAGCTTGCACTTTGCACCTATATAACAGGCTAGAATTTTAAAGTCAAGCCCAGAATTGTTATATAGGGATTGGTAAAAGGAGACTACATACCAGAATTGCCTTTAAGAGTTACTCTATGGCTAATATCTGGGATCTGCGTCAGTAAGATACCGAAAACAACTCAAATACAGTTATACAGTTTGCTCAGATTCTTTCTATCTTGATGTTTTTTTTTTTTGGTGCTGAGGAATCTTGATCTTTCTTTACTGGTTGTCCCAGTGGCACCATGGAATTGTGAATATCCATTAGGCCAAAAGTACAATGACATAACAAATACCAAGGCACAATATAGCTTAGTCAAAGGCAAATAACAAAATTACAATATGTCTAATGTTATACATGTTATATGTATCTTAAAATGTTAAGAGTTCATTATATGAGAAGACAAGGCAAGTTTTGTGAGGCTCACTACATGAAAAGAAATAGCTACAGGTGTGGGTACAGATCTTAAAATCAATTTATAATTATTATTATAATAATTTTATTTTTTAAAAAAATGGACAACTGAGATTAGAAAACACAGTATATTAAAAAAAAGTAATATATCACTTTATTGTGCAACTTTTATTTCATGCAGACACATACGTAATATAAAATATGATATAAAATCTTTTTATTGTCAATCAGAAAAAATGTTTATAAGTCTTTTATTACCCAAAGTCCAGGACACCCTACAACTATATGTGAGGATAAAAAGAGCTCATGATTAATATTTGTATCCATTCTTTCTGAGACTATTAGGCAATCATAAATGCTGTAGGTTCTATAAAAATGTCAAAATACTGCTGAAGGCTTATGTATAGATTTTTTTTAGTCTGGGGGTTGCTCACAGAATCTCAAATAAGATTTAGATAATGCATAATTCAGTTAAATTTCCCTCTCTGTCCCAGGATTCTCACTATAATGTTTAACGTCACTAAGCATCTTGTTGAAGAGAGAAATTTTAGGAAAGTTTGCCCTTAGAAGTAATTCTACTGTGAAATAAAAGAGGACTTTACAAATTCTTTAGGTTTGTCCCTAATTTCTGATTCTTGCAGCAACTACCAAAGAAACATTAGAAATGTCGATTTACAGATTAACTAATTTCTCAAGAGGTGTGGGCAATTATATACTATGTTTACCCTTAAGTAAAGGCTCACTGGTGAGAAAATTCTGAATTCCCAACTCAACTTAGATCTTCAGAACATATGAGATTTTACTTACCAAGATCTGTTATTACCAAATTGCAAATGTTGAAATTCCTATAAAAGACTACAGGCATTTTAAATTAGGAATCTGACAAACAGTAAATCCTCAGTCAAAACACTAGTTAAGAATGGTAACACTGATTACATAAATAGTATTTTTCTCCTTCCTGTATGGAAATGAAAAAGAAAAAAAAGTTAGTTCTATACAACACATTTTTTAAGGATTCAAGAAAAGAAAAAAGCATAGGAATCATAGCTCCCCCAACCTCCAGCACTGGGGATTGAGCCATTGAGCCCGTGGTGTTCACACTGAGCTACATCCCCAGGGCTTTTAATTTTTCATATTTTTGTTTTGGTACCAGGGGTCGAACTCAGAACCCTGTGCTTGCGAGGCAGGCGGCGGAACCACTGAGCTAAATCCCTGGCCTCTATTTTTCAGATTTTGAGACAGAGTGTCATTAAGTTGCTAAGTTGCTAAGGCTGGGGATTTGGCTCAGTGGTTTCGGTGCCTGCGTCGCAAGCACAAGGTCCCCAGTTCGATCCCTGGTACAAAAAAAAAAATTTAAAAAAAAAAAGAAACCAAGGGCCTACATTAACTCCTATAAAATAAAGCCGAATCCATTTCCCCTTCTCCATTCCCAACTAACAAATACATACATTATACATATACATGTATAGACATAAATGTATTTATTTAAATCAATCACAAATCTTTTGAAATCTTAAAATCTAAAGTAATTATATGATTATAATTCCACAATTCATTCAATAATTACCAAGTAACTTATTTGCATAGCATTCTATAAGATACTATATGAGACAGAAAAAAGAAAAAGGTTACCCTCTCAAAGTCCATCCAGGGCTCTCTGGGTTGTGGCATGGCATCCACTGTGACAAACACATTGACTGGGTGTCAAACTTAGGACAAAAATCTACAACTTCAAAAACTAAGAACTATTAGAATCAGTATTCTTTTATTTTATTAACTGAAAATTTCATTAAGCCACACTAATGTGTTTATCCATTTTCTTACCATTAACTGAAGACAATCTGAGTTGTAGGATGACCAAAAACAACCTTAAAATATGTACAAGTTTTAATCAAACATATTTTATAAAAGTGATTTCCCCCCAACAAACTCTAGAAAAACTATTTCTAAACCTAGAGATATGGGTCAGCCGCACTCCAGAATAGGTTAAAATTAACTAGTTCTTAAACAAGTACATATCGCTCTTGCTCTTACTTGCCAGTCTCGTATCTCGTCAGATATGACATGCAGTAAAACTGGTCATTTTGTACCAACTGTTTTTGCTAGGAAAAGACAATGGATGAAATGGAAATTCATTCATCTAAGTTTGTCTGTGTCCCTTTAACAGAGATAAGCTATTATTTCATGAAATAATGTTATTCTGTATCTCTATTCCGTCCTCATTTCAAATACAATCAATTTGGTCCTTGCGCTACGATTTACCAAACAGGACCTTTATGGTTTTATTATACTGGCTTGTCAATTAAGAATTTCTTTTTGGCCTAAAATTTTATTTGAAAAAACAAAACAACACAAACTGTGGGTGTACATACATACATTTTGGAGGATGGGGGATGAGTGGGGGAAAAATGAGAAGGCACACAAAGTTTTTTGTTCTCTATAAATCCTGAAGAATATAATATACAGTCAAGAGGCAAAAGAAAATATGTAAACCATTTACTCATTGGTGACTCTTTCCCCCCCACAAAGGCCCCACAGAATTTCACTCACTCTGCTTTAGGTTTCCTGGGATTGATGAAACCTACAAAAACATCTAAAATAAATTCAAAGTATCTCCCTATTGTGGTTTAAAAGGGGGGTGGTGGGAGTCCCCTCCCCAAATATACACACATTACAAAGCCAAGAAACAGTTTCCAAATGCTAATAAAGACTACAGTCTTTTCAGTAAAACTTACAGCACACAACCAATGCTTAAAGCACTCCCAGTAAATCTTCCTGCAGATTTCTATTGTGGGCCTTTAGTGAGTTCCTGTCTTAAAAGACCTTGATGTTTAAATTTCCTAAATCATGTTTACCAAGATTGTTTCTATCATGGTACATACAGAAAATATTTGTACAACACATACAAAGTAAAATAACAAGGTTATTAGCCAACCACAACCACAGTCTTCAGTGACCCTGGGACAAAAGATCATTGTCTCTGCACACCTTGGAAGTTTGCCACTATGCTAGAACCGAACAGCTGGAAGTTCTTACTTAAACTGGCCAGTCACAGAATTCTCAACTATTTACCTGAATCATTAAGAATCTTTGAGGTTAAAGACCTTCCAGGTATACTTCAAGTTTTAACAAGATGACTAATAGTAAACTTACAATAGTAAACCTAATAAAAAGGATTCATAGTTCAGCACAGTAACCAAGTTCTTAAAATATCTGGTAGTATGAATACTTCCTAAACAAGATGTTAAACTCCTTTTTTTTTATATGTTAAACTCCCTTTTTTACATGTATATGGCTTAATTCATAAGATAACGAAGAATGATTTTCAAATGTTTACATTTTTAAAAATAAACTTAGAATCTTGTATTTCTTATCAAACTTAAAAGATTACTCTTATCCTTTCTTGTTTGTTCTAAGAAATCTGGTTTGAGCTGGGGATTTAGCTCAGTTGGCACCATGCCTGCCCCGAAAGCACAAGGTCCTGAGTTTGATCCCTGGTGCCAAAAAAAAAGAAAATAGAAAAATCTGGTTTGTAAAACTGTTTAAAGCTCTACTCTACTGAGTGTAGTGGCACACGCCTATAATCCCAGCACTGGGAAGGCTGAGGCAGGAGGATTACTGTGCCAGCCTTGGCTACATGGCGAGTTCAAGGCCAGCCTGAACTACATAGTGAGACCCTGTCTCAAAAAACCAAAAAGAAAAAAAGAAGCAGCTCAACCTAGCTGGGCCTAGTAGCACACACCTGTAAGTCTAGCATTTGGAAAGCTGAGGTAGGAGCATCACAAGTTCGACCATCTGTCTCAGCAACAAAAAAATAGAAGCTCAACCCAATCTTAATTGTTTTAAATTATCACAGGAAACACTATTAGACATTCTTGCTCAAAACAAGGGTTACAACCATGAGGAAATAATTTGGACTAATAATTTAATATGCATCTCAGGCAAATCTGATGCTGTAGTCAGGAGACGCTGAGGAAATACTTATAGAGGCCTTTGCTTTAGTTAATATGCATCTCTTCAGAGTGCTATCTTCATATAGTAAAACCTAGCATGGAGTAAACACTCCAATACACACATTTTATCCCAGATTGTGGCTGGTACATAATCTCATCATTCCGGACATTTGTGATGCTTGCACTATAACTGTAAAAGAATCCAGTCTGAGTGTGAGCATATATGTGTGCTTCCATTTAAAACTCCAGAATATAGTTTCTAATTTTTTTTTTAATTTCCTTAGAAACATTCAACTGTCTAGGGTTGGAAGTGCATTTGTATATAGCCTTTTTACTGCTATAAAAAAATAGTATAAAGATACAATGAGAAAAAACACACAATGATTTTTTTACTTTTGGGGCAAAGACTAGTTAGTCCAACTTAATAGAGTAGATATTTGAATACCAAAGAAGCTCAAATTGTAACTTACCTATGAATCACTTTAATCTAAGGTTGATTAGTACAGCTAATTCAAGTTCAGTATGTCTTATTTCAAAATGGCTAAGACCAAATGTGTTTCGGGTTTCACTTTTTTTTTTTAACTTGGAATATTTGCATATATATGATACCTTGGGGATGGGAGGGACCCAAGTCTAAACATGAAATTCATTTATGTTTCATGTATACCTTCTATATAGCTTGAAGATAATTTTTTTTCCTTTTATTGGTACATTTTAGGTGTACAATATAATGACATTCATCACTGCAGATATGCACACCTTTACATAATCTCTCTTGGTTCTTATTTTATCCCCCTTCCCCTGCCCTCCCTTTAACCCCTCCATCCCTCCCTATTTACAAAGACTTTGTTTCCATTTTTTCATTTTCTCACATTTTATATATTTTTAGTAATCTCATGCATGAAATGTTTCATGATATGGAATTTTTCACTTGTGGAATCATGAAAATGCTCAAAAAATTTTGGATTTTGGAGCATTTCAGATTTTGGATTAAGAATTATAGATTTTGCTCAATCTATACTTCCATAAGATTACCAATTTTATCTCATATTTGCTATTACAAATAGCAATGTAAAACTAAATACCCAACAGAACACTATTTTCCTACTCAGTGACAAGTGGATCTTAATTAGAAGTTTAAAATCACTAATATCTCAATTATTAAGTATGAATGGGAGAAACAAGATTTAAAACAAACTTTTTAATCCAATTATACATGAAAAATGAAAATCGCTATAAAATATGCTCTTTGATCCCCCATCCTGGAAAGAATATTTATTAAATATTTATGTATTTTGTTTTGAGACAGAACTTCTCTAAATGGTACAGTTCAAGTGGCCTTGAACTCTGAATCCTTCTGCCCTAGCCTCCTAAGTGCTGGGATTACAGGCATATGCCATGATGCCCAGCTTAAATTTAATGTTTCAAAAACAACATTCTCTTTTTAAGGGGGGGGGGGATGAAAGGGTTATAAGCGGTGTTCCTTTAACTATTTTCAGCTTTGTCCTCCTGACACTTCTCATACTCCTACTTTAAAATTCACAGTAAATCTGCTATACTGGTGGGATCAAGGCAAGAATGCGCCCTTTCTTACTCCCCTTTCTTGAAATAGCTGGGAAAGTTCAGACTGGTCCCGTTTCTTAGAGAGTAAAGGTCAATCAAAATCAACATAATACAAAAACTTGTCCTAGATCCTTTCACTCTACTCACTTGCTTATTTCCAAGAAACATTTAATGAGGTTACTGATGAAACAGGAATCAATAAGCAAAAAGCAACTCAGTTCAATTTAAGAGCCTATAAAGCATTCCATTCATTTATTACATTAAGAACAGGAAACACAAAGCTATTGAAACAAACAGAGGCTGGGAGTGAGGCTCAGTTGTAGAATATATGCTTAGTAGGTATAAGACTCTGGATTCAATCCCCAACACAACAACAACAATAACAACAACAACGAAACATCCCAAACCACAAACAAATGTTTTTTTTAAAAAGTTGAAAGTCTATACCAGAACCAAATAAGAGAACAAAGAAACCAGGAAAGACATACACAGCTATACCAAAAGGGGATGGCAAGAGGTAATAAACTACATATTCAGTGAGTCATTATGATCTAAGGAAAAGGGAAAGGAAAATCAAAAGGCATAAAGTACCACAAAGCAGGTATTTCCATCTATTTGTTCACAGGTATATCCCCAGAACCTAGAGCTTCACACTGAATTACATCCTCAGTCTTTTTAATTTTTTGAGACAAGATCTCACTAAGTTGCCCAGGTTCGTTGAACTGGGAATCCTCCTGCCTAAGCCTCCCATGTAGTTGGTATTACAGAAGTGTACCACCAGGTCCATCTACTAAAAGTTTTTGAACAGGTAAACAGATATAATATACATGTAATACTTTTCTTTTCTTTTCTTTTTTTTTTGGTACCGGGGATCGAACTCAGGTCTTTACACTTGCGCAGCAGGCAGCGAAACCACTGAGCTAAATCCCTGGGCCCCTATGTAATACTTTTAAAAAGGAGCTTTTCAAAGTGAAGTTAAGTGGACTCCCACAGGTTCCTGAGACCTTTTAAGGGAGTGTAGGAGGCCAAAACTATAATAATACTAACACATTTTCAGACCGTTGACTTTTATAGCAATGTTTAAGTGCTGAGGGCTTGGTAAATATTTCTGGCCATTATACACATTTTAAAAGAAAACTCAAAAAACTCTGGCAAGAGCTGGACCTGGTGGCACACACCTATAATAACTGCATTCTGGGAGGCTAAGGAACAAAGATCACAAGTTCAAGTCCAACCCAGACAACTTGGTGAGACTCTGTCTCAAAATAAAAATAAAACAAGGGCCAGGGATGTAGCTCATTGCAAAGGCCCTAGGCTGAATCCCTCCTGTGTATTTGTAAGGGGGTTCACTTAGTTCTACTTATGCCATTAGCCAAAAGATTTTGAGGCCCTTTTCACTCCACCTTTAAAAAACCAGTTAGCTGGGAGTGTAGCTCAATGATAGAGCACTTGCTTACCATTGAAGAAGCTCTACTTCAATCCCTAGTATTGACCCAAAAAAAGTGCTTAGATTTCAGGAACTTGTTTAACCCAATTCATCAAGCCATTTCTTCTCATATGATCTCATGACCCCCTGAGCATTCTCTTCAATGCACTCAACACATTTGTACTTTACATGGTTAACACCTATTCCCCAATATCTGTAAGCTCCATAAGGTAGGGACTATGCCTGTTTTGGCTCAATACTATCATTAACACAGCATATTGCCAGGAACATAGTAAGTACTCAAATGTTTGTTTAGTAAAGGAAAAGGGTAATCCATTCTCTTATTTTTTCCTTTGGGCAATAGCAGTAAAATTCAGGATTGTTTTCTTTGTAAGAATTGTAGTTTTCTAATAAGAGTCACAGTAAAATGAAAAAGTATGTGTCCCTAATTTTCTCCAACATTTTTATAAGATGAAGTGAATTGAGTCCACAATAATTTTTACCACTGTCTTAGATGAAACTATTGAATTTTATCAAGAAAAAGGTAAAAAGCTTGACTAAGTTTCTAATGGGTCACAATATGGATTGACAGTTGCAGGAGGTCCTTTCCTTTAAGGTGCAGTCACTGGTTGAGAATTACTAATGGAAAAATTTGCTTCACTAATAGAAATCCTTCCTTCCTTCCAGGCTGGTTATATGACTATATGGAGACATACACCGGCTCTTTCTACTTCTCGGGAACATGCTATCTCCTCTCCTCACTCTCCTTTTTCTTTGTACCACTGGCTGAGAGGTGGAAAAGCAAACAGTTACCAGAAGGAAAGAGGACTACAATCAAGTGAAAGTTTAACGAAAGAAAATTTAAATTAGTAAGTTTTTAGAAATAAAAGCTTGGAAGAAGATTCCTTGTTTGTAAAATGAAAAGGTAAACAAGATAGTTTTTATGTTCCTCCTTGTTTTAGCATTCTGAGTGAGGAATATCTGTCCTGGTAGTAACAGTAACAGCAAATTAGTTAAAGCAACTACCTTAGGTATTAAATGAAAGGCAAAGTGTACTATAATAAATTAATCCAAACTCTCAATTATGCCTTATTCAATCACTAAATTGAAGAATCTTTTTTTAATTTACAGAAATAGTAAATATAGCCACTGGTTGACTAGAACTTGGAATTTGAATGAATACTCAAACTTTGGTTAGTGATTGGAATGGTATACACTTCCCCAAAAGTTCATCTTTATTGATAAGATCTAATTTTCTTTGTATTACCTTGTTTTTAAATTTCTATGATAAACATGTATTGCCATGTAACAAAAAATAAAAATTGCTAAAAAAAAAAAACCCCACAAAACCTTTAACATGTTCTTAATGGTATTCCTAAACAATGTCACTACTGTCCCATCTAAACAACATTTACTTTTTCACTACATTTGATTATCAAAAAATTTATGTTAAATATCTAGATGTCTCTTAAGAACTACAAGTTTCATGTAAAAGTTGAATAGGTGATTTTAATGGGAAATATATTTAAATTAAAAGATGTTTATTATATATGAGATCATGGTGGTAACTAATTAATAATGTCACTTAGACTAAGTAGGTACATGTGAATAGCCCTTCATTATTTGGGTGATCTTTTTTTTCGTTTTCAGACAGGGTATCACTGTGTAGTTCAGGCTGGCCATGAACTCACTATGCAGCCCAGGCTGGCCTGGAACTCACAGTGATCCTGAGTGCTAGAATTACAGGCATGTGCCACCACACCCAGCTTTGTGTGATCTTTATGAGGGGAAAAAAAGTTTTCTCCAATACCAGCCACCTCCCTTGAACCCTTCAGAATGCTTCTTAAACTATTATCATCATTATTATTCTATCCTTCCATTTCTTTCTGCCTTAGAATATCTGTTGACTCCATATTGAGAAAAATCCTAAACTGAAAGCCTCATTTTAGCTCCAACATGCATACCTTGCCTTCTCACTATGTATACCTTTTTCCAAGCTTTGCCTCCTGCTGCAATCCCACTGACTTGCCTTTTTCTGTCAGACACAATCTCACTTAATCATGTGACTCAAAGGCTCACTCCTTTAGAAAACCTTCCCCAGGATCTGGAATCCCATCTAACTTTTAAACAGAGGACTTTATGAGCACACATGTCACCCTTGTCCACTAGATCAACAAGGTGATGTCTTATTCATTTTTGTATTCTCCAAGGCCTATCAAAAGCTTTGAAACCAAATTAAGCTAGGTTGAAATCTATTATCTCAAAGACAGTAGGTAGTTTTTGGTTTGTTTTTGTTTTTTTTTTTGGTACGGGGGACCAAACTTGGGACCTTGCCCTTTTGAGGCAAGCGGCACAATAGGTAGGTTGTTTGTTTTGTTTTTTTGGTGCTGGGGATCTAACTCGGACCTTATGCTTGCAAAGCAGGCAGCGGAACCACTGAGCTAAATCCCCGGCCCAACAGTAGGTAGTTTTAAGTGTAAATGTCTAATATGTTTTTCACATTTTACTTGTAAGACATATGAATAAAAAACAAAAATACTACCCCTCATACAAACAGCAAAAATAGTTGATTGGTAATAAATCTCAACTCTGCCACTCATTACCATATAATCTCATAAAGTTACTCAGCTTCTCTGATCGCCAATTTTCTCCTCTGTAAAATGAGGACATTACCAAACTACTCCACAGATGTACTGTGAGGATTACATGAAAATATGCTTGTATCAAACAAAGTATCCTTCATGAAGAGTAGAGTAGCTACTACTTTTTCTTTCTTTTGTTTTCTGTGTTAAAAAAGAAGATAAATCAATTTTTACTAAGAACTACTCTCATCAATTCCCCCTTACCTGATAGTGTTAACTTCATCTTCACAATAAACCTCAGAAGCAGATACTGTGATGCCTAGTTTACAGATGAATAAACTGAAAGTCAAAGAAATTAAATACCCAGTAAATGGTCTCACAATTCAAACATAATCTGACATGAAACCCTAAACTTTCCCCTTTATATTACTCTGACTTCTTAGCAGCAACAACAAATTAAGAAGCTAATTTAATTCAAAGCAGTTATCTTATAATAATTTTAAACTCAAATTTGCCTCTAATTTTAATTTCTAGATTGAAACGAAAAAGATAATACAAAGTATCTAACAACCAACCCCTCCCATAAAAACCACAAATCATATCTGCCACAACAGTGTACTTGCTAAATAATCAACCTTCTTAGGTCTTTTTTTTTTTTTTTCTACTGAGATTTGAACTTAGGACCTTGCGCCTGCAAGGCAGATGCAGTGCCACTAAGCTAAATCCCCAGCCCACCTTCTTAGGTCTTCTAATACTCATTGAACCTCATCAAAGAAGGTACTGCTTAACTGCAGGGCATTTATAATTCTTTAATAATTAGCTGGAATGTTTATAAATTATAAGCTTTGAAATTTAAAAAAAAGTCTAGTAAAGCTATGACAATTTGAACATAAAAGTCTATTTTCTTGTAAGATTTTTTAAATTATATTTAAAATTGGTGGGGCCAGGGATTTAGCTCAGTGGTTCCGGCGCCTACCTCGCAAGCACAAGGTCCCGAGTTCGATCCCCGGTACCAAAAAAAAAGATGCCACATCATCATTATAAAATTTTCTATATATGTTGAAAATAAAATATTATCTGATATTAAAACTACCTTATAATACTTTCGAATTTTTAAGTTCTTTTCCATCAATTACCTCATTACCATGTCAATTCTGTGAGAAGTTTGGACAAGTATTATGATTACTATTTTATATATAAGGAACAAAAGCAATTTAATATCAAGGTATTTGCCTAAAGTTACAAAGCTACTTCTTACCAAAGCCAATTCTAAAACCTAATTATTGAGGGTAAAGCATAGTAGTAAAGCCACATGGAAGCCCTCTGTTCTAACCCCCAGCACACACGCACGCACACACAAACACACACACACACAAAAAAACTCACAAAAAATTAAATCTAATTATTGATGCTGATTAGATCATGCTTCTGCCTTTTCTTCTATAATGATTCTCTTACTTTAAATTTACTTAAACCAACAATTAGACTTATATGGACTGCAATAATTTTGTAACATTTTTCAAATATTCTAGACACATAAATATATGATACACTGCAAAAAAATAAGCTCCTGAATAAATAAACCTACCTAACTGTAGAATCACTCTTTTCAACATGAGAAAAACCTTATATATTAATATTTTAGTCTTCTAAGAAACAGAATGTGAAAACTTCAATAATGCTTTCTCTGAAGATCTCAATATAAAATCAAAGTCCAGTACTTTTTAAAACTCTGAGTCTCTCTTAAGCCAGAACCATCTTTATAATGCTTTAGGTCTACAGAGCTGACTCCTACAGTTACTCATTTGCTACTAATATCCATCCAATTGTCTCACATTATCACTTATAATCTTAAAATATACCTAAATGAAAAATAACTAAAAGGGGTTAGAATCAGCTTCTAAAATCAGTATAAAATTCTTCATATTTTATTTCTATGAGAGATAAACTGGCATTACCCAGGGTCACTGGAACAAATTAGACAAGGCATTTCTTAAAAAGAACCTAATCCCTAGTACATTGCAACAGAAGCTAGTATATTGTAAAATCTCCTTTAATCCAAAATGATCAATAACAACCTTTTCAGGGATGCAGCAAATGAACTAAGATTAGGGCAACCAACTAGCTGGGTCTGTCCAGCGATGAGGGAGTTCTTGAGATCCAGGGCTTCTGAGTTTTAAAACCAGGACAGGTTGTCTACTCTTTTTTTTTTTTTTGGTACCAGGGATCAAACTCAGGTCCTTGTGCTTGCGCAGCAGTGGGCAAAACCACTGAGCTAAATCCCCGGCCCAGGTTGTCTACTCTTAAGGAGCAAAGAACATGTCTAGATACTTGATAGCAGGCAGCACACAAAAAATAAAATAACAACAAACAAAACCTCTTACAAATTCAATTCCTTTTTTACCTCATACAAGCCCTGGCTAGCATAACAGAAACTAACAAGGGAGGCACAGAATATTTTTAAGGAGAACCTAAAGGAGACATGAACTAAGGCTTAAAGTAAAATTTTAAAAAATGAGTTGACTTTTTCCACTGACAGACTTCCAACTTTCACTTCTTATGCTATTTTATAAGTACTATTTGAGAGGAAATAAAGCCAAGATGTCTCACTCTTTGGTTTGTGTCAACCAACTAATGTTCTCTTAGGAGGGAAAAGAGAATGCTAGCCTTTTAAGAATAGTACATCAGGACCAAGATAAAAGATAAAAGGCTTTTAAAGCGCAAAAACTAGAATGTCTTTCTTCTTGTATCTCAAAGCCAGTAAGAGTTTAATACAAGTTGCTTACATACTCCAACCTGTAAATCAGAGGAGTTTGCTTACCACACTTAAAACAATTTCAAGGCTAAATGTCACCACAGCACAGCTCTCTGAAGCCATAGCAAGAGGATGACTCACCAAGTGGCAGGTGTCTTAGCTTCTACAAATAATGGTTATCTGTCTGGATGTCAACAAAGGTAAGTGCCCCAAGAGCCGAACTCATCCTGCTTGGCTAAGAGAAGGGAGAGGCTAAAAAAAACTGGTCAGTAGTACAGTACCTGTATTACAATGGAAAGAAGAATCAGACTGCTACAAAGAAGCTTATAATCCATGCAGATTTTTAAAATGTCCTCTGCATATATTTTATATTCCAATTTTCACTTATCAGGAATGTACAGTAGAGTAAGATCTAAGATAAAAATCAATTTTATGACCCCCAAATTAAAAATAACTGAAAGTGAGAATTATATTGAGTTCATCTGAAGTCAGAGTCATAAGAAAAATAAATCCATATTTAAACCCTATTATATTTAATGACTTGATGTCAGTTTCCACTCCAGTCAAAATAAAATTAGCAGTTCATATTTGAGCTCTAGTTCACTGATGTATATCCACTGAGCTCTAGTTCACTCATGTATATCCGTATGTGGAAACTGACACCATGCCACAGTTAATAAGATATGGGTTTAGAAATATGGAATTAAAAGAAACTTACCCTTTCCCTTTGTGCAGCTCTGACCTCCAAACCAGTTTCTATAGAAACAAGAGGACAAGTGCCAGTGCCAGAAGTCTGTCAATTACAACTCATCTTTTAGTTGCTGAACAATAAAGCCAGATCCCAAAGTCGGCTATAGGTTTTTGATTGTCAGTAGTTCCTAAAAAGAAACCCAGGAGGAAAAGAGATATTTAACCAATTACTGTATTTAGAAATGCTCCCTTTAAACTTGGCTATTAAAAAAAGAGGGAGATCCAATATTGTATCTTAAAAGAAAAAATTACTAGTGCTTAAATTTAAACAATAAAAAATATATTTGAAGGTTCAAAATACTTTTAAACCACTACATTAAAAATGTATCACCATAAAGTAATTCCAATCACCAAATCTTAAAAGTTCAAATGAATCCATTCCTTTTATGGAGTCAATTTTCAGTAAGATTTTAAGACCACAAAGGGTAAATTTCACAAACGAAATTTGTGAGAAATGATACAGTTAA